AAACAGAAGATAGTGGTTGATGTTGCATTTAAATTTTTGAAGATTTTAGATAGGAATAATAAAGAAACTGGAAGGTTCCACAGACAAGAAAAGAAACTATTTGAATAGAACTTATGGTTACATCAAGTTATTTCAACAGTAAAACAGTGAGAACTAATTGACAATCTAATGGTATGCTTAAATTCACATAGTCCAAGAGAATTCTTTAGAACTGCTGCCATTAAGATATTTCTATAAAAGACAGTATTAATCATTAAAACCTGATTACAAGTAATAATATTAATAGATTTGATAAATTTAAAATTAAATAAATTTTGGATTTATTTATACAAGAGTTACCAAAATATGAAGAAAAAAGGAGAATTCCATTAGAAACAAAGAAAAGACTAAGCTAATCTAATTTCACTTCTCCTCTATAGCAGTGAATGTTGGATAATCTCTTCACAGATGAAGAGACTTAAGACAACAGAAATGTAGTTCTACAGAAGCCATGTTTAAATAAAACTGAATTTGTTTACATATGCTTTCCAATACATCATGTAGAGTTGTTTTATTTAAGAATTTTTAAAATTGTACAGATAATTTATGGGCACCCTGTATATCAGTTTCAGTATTAATCATTAAAACGTGATTACAAGTAATAACATTAATAGAATTGATAAATTTAAAATTAAATAAATTTCAGATTTATTTTGTATGAGAGAGAGAATTAATGAGTTATCAATTGATTTTTGATCATAAAGTTTCACTGTATAATGTTCAATTTATATGATTAGTAGGAAAGTGTTTGGTTAAGTGCATTGACAAGGAAGACAAATAAATTGAATAATAAATATTTGTCTATGTTTTTGAGATGAAGCATTGTAACTATTTACACTATTTACATTGTTTGGATGTTGTTCTTTATTGTCATATTCACAGCATTTCATTTTTCAGGTAATATGTTGGAATTTCAAACCGAACCCTTCATTTAGTTCACAGGGTTAGATTATCCTAGTTCCACATGCCATGACCTTTCTGGATATCTCAGTTTCAGTTATAATCTCCAAGTTTTTGTTCACCTCTGCTATGGCCAGATATTGAACTCACATGTCTTTGGGTCAAGTCACTTTTTGGATTACTTCAGCCAACACTTTTATCCACTGGGCTATGTGTCTGTACAATATTCAAAGTGTTCGGAATATGATAATGAAGATGGTGAACAACAGTTTGAACAATGTAAATAGTTTAAATATTAAATATTTGTTGTATAAAATAACTGGTTTGTCATTATTAGGCTATAAACTTATTAATATATCTCAAAATAAAAGCGGTTTCAAATTTCAAATGAGAATACAGGTGTCATTTTTGCTACTTTTTCTTATTGATTACAGTTTTCTTTTCTGATATGGTACTTTTATTGTCCATGTTATTGTTGATATTACAGTTATAATTGTCTGGTTCAAAATTGTTTGGTGGCTTACACAAGGAAGAATGGCAAGGATGCAGTCAAGCATATCACAGAACTGAAGAAGGAAAGAGTGAGTGTGCAGAAAGAAGTGGTTCTACCATTTAAATATCTGTAGGTGTGGAGATATGATTGCATCTCATGGATAACCTGACACCTTCCAGGCTTTTGAGTAAGAAATGTGGCAGTTAAAGCAGCAGGCACGTTCATTCCACAGCAGAGTGCCAATTGCCTGTGTATTTGGAAAATAAAATATTTCTGCTTAAATGTTGGAGATAATACATTATACATAGACAGCAAACAAATCAAATGTAGCTTTCTTGGCTTCAGACATTGGCAGATTGTTCACTAAATCTTTCCGAGTTTTCTTGGTGATCTGGAATAATACTTCTGACTAGAAGTAGGAATTTAGTTCAATGCTTTCAGCAAATACATTTCTTCAAAACTTTGAATAATGACTTGTTAGAAAGATTTGAAGTTTATTTTAATGCTTCTTGTTATAGAAAATTGATTGTTCTCTTATTACAAAACTGATGAGCATATGAGTTTGACTGATCAACTGTCAATATTCTTCAGCTGACAGGAGATTCCACAGTCAAAATGCCAAGTGGGAGGTCAGTCTAGGTTTACAAACCAATGATATTTAGTAACCTTGACCCTTAATTACAAAGAATTCTGTCAAATAGATTCTGTTGTTTCAGCTATGCCAAAAGATGAAGAAAAAGGAAAATTTCATTAGAAACAAAGAAAAGACTAAACTAAACTTATCTAATTTCACTTCACCTCTATAGGAGTGAATGTTGGATAATCTCTTCACAGATGAAGAGACTTGAGACAACAGAAATGTAGTTCTACAGAAGCATGCTGAGAATACCATGGGCTGAACATGTGAGTAACGAGGAAGTTTCAAGGAAAATAGAAGCAAAAACACTTATATTTAAAATCAGAAAAAGACTTTTGAAATATCTAGGACATCTAATGTGAAAAGAAAGCTTGTAGAATTCACACGGCATATTGAAAGAAAAAAAAAATCACAAAAAGCTGTAAGTAAACTAATGAGTTTGTTTAAATGGTTGGCAGAACTGATTGGGGGGGATAGTGAAAAGACAAATCTTAGTAAGAGCTACAAAGGATAGGAAGATATGGAGAGCCATGGTTGCCCACATTCTGAAGGGACATGGCACATAGAAGTATCCTTATCCTGAATCATTTTAATTTTTTGGTGCTCTTCATCATTCTATAACCTAACAGAATTGATAAAAAAAAAATGTTTATGTAGTTGCATATTATATCATTTTATTTATTTATATTTTTTCTCCTTACTTTAATTAATCCTTATTATTGTTAATTTTAATTTAATACTTACTGTCATTTATGTTTGTGGATGCAAATCAGTCCAACTGGTCACTTGTCACTGGAATTTTCCTATCATACAAGATTTCATATCTGCAAGTTAAAGAAAAAGTCATTTAAATTTGTTTTTTTTTATATATGCCTATAGGAGCACAAATCAACACTATTTTTTTCACTTGCTCTTTGACCTCTCCACCTCACAAATGGCCATAAGTTTTGGAAGGTAATGCAAGATGAGCTAATAGATAATTCCACTTAATAGGTGCTGACCTAACAAAAGTAGATTTTTTTTCATTTTTAGAAAACAGCACAACTGTTAAAATGAAAATAAGTTAAAATTCATTAACAGAAAAAAAAGCCCCCCCCCCACAAAAAAAAACTTCTATCTCCACCTAGACTAACTAACCTAAATTTTATTTACTATTCCTTTATTTTATTTTCCCCATCAATAGGTGTTGATAGGTGAACCTATTGTTTGGCTTACACTCCACCTAGTCTTTTGAATAGGAGTAGATGTTTATTTCTAGTTTCCTGTTTAGTATTGGGTTTCCAGTTCCTTCTAAAGTCTACTTTGACTATACTTCTAATGTCTCTGCTTAAACTCTGAAATTTTCGTTTACTTTTTTTTCCTCAACAGGAGTAGATAGGTTTGCCTATCATCCAGTTCACACTCCTCCTATTTTTGAACAGGAACAGAGGTTTATCCCTTTAGTTTTGGGTTTTGGTTCCTTCTAAAGTCTTTTCAATCACTTCCACTCTCAGTAGCTACTTGCATCTTGGTGGCATTATTGCCTTTCTTGGGGTGAATTGATTATATAAAAGGTTAAACAAAAAATAAAAAGTATAAAAAAAAATAAATAAAAATATATAAAATAATAAAATTCCAATCTTTAATATTTGTTTTTTTTATTGTCACATTAAATTCTGGATTGGAGGTTCAGAGAGGCACAACTGGTCCCATCATCTAAAAATTAAATAATTAGCAAACCAAGTCTGGATATTAGCTGAAAATTTTGTTCATTTTTTTTTTTTTTTTTTTTTTTTAAAAACACACCAGTGTCCTTGAAAAAGACAAATCACATCATACTTTGTAGCATCAGTCAGTCAATTATGCGTCATGCGTGATACATGCTTAATTGATCATGTATCTTTCGATACATGACTGACGAGGCAGATTTTTTTTCCCACAGTAGGTTGCCATTTCTTTCTGTGGCAAACCAGTTGCTATCCAAGGCCATAGAAACCAGTCTGTCCTGCTATTTACCCATAGCTGAGGGGATAAGAAGAGGATTCATACCTTTTTCATGGGTATTAGCATGAAAGTGAATGTAATGGATTTGACCGGAATTTGAACTCGGCTCTCTGATTCCTCAATCCGACCCGCTATCCATTACTCCACCATGCCTCCACCACTGGCATCCCATAATAGCTGACAGGGAAAAAGAATGGATGAATTAGATTGGACAATTCAATCTCCCATTGCTTTCTGTCCAAGCAGTAAGAAGGTGTTACTATTATTATCATAATCCCAGTACCAGTTACCTCATATTTAAAATAATACCATTTCTATTTACCAATTAGGGCAATAAGTTTTGAATGCATTATTTCAAGGTGGTCCTTGTATTTCTATGAATTGTTTGGCCGCTTGGAAGCAAGCTCTTGTGTATCAATTCATGCCTGTCCTGCCAAATGCTCATCATAACTTTCTCCTATGGTTTCAGCTTCCCTAAAATTGTCGTTATTTTGATATAAGATCCATATTTTACTAAAAATGAGAATACATTACATAAATGGATCAATTTCATAATGTTGAAGATGCATCTATGCATCTTATGTGCAAAATCTCTTCTGAGCGCAGGTAATCATGGTTCACCACAATTACCTTTTGTTGTTCTATGTGACTTTTGACCCTTTACATTCTCTCATTGTCCCTGTTCTGCTATCCATTTACAGAAATTCATTAAGTATGAGACGCACAGTTTACTCCTGTTTCTCTTGCCCTCAATATGTCTTGTGTGTGTAAAATTCTCTAATCCTTCTTTTCTCATGTTCTTTTTTTATTGTAATTATAGGTTTTCTTGCTGTTTCTATTTTCCTTAAGACTTCCTCAGTGTCAAAATGTTCTCCAGTCTAAAATATTTACATTCAGATGCAATAAGGCACTCTTGATTATTTTCTTGCTATAATGGAGAGGGCATTCAGCCAAATCATGTTGAAACACCAGTTCTTGTATGATCACTGAAGTTAAGCAACATTAAGCCTGGTCAGTACCTAGATAGATGATTGCTTAGGAATACCAGGTGCTGCTGTAAGATTGGGTGTGCAGGTAGTGTAATGAATAATGGCGCAGAATTGTTAATCAGAGAGCCGAGTTTCAATTCCATCTGGGTTCGTTTTATTCACTTACATGCAAATATTCTTGGGAAATGTGGGAATCCACCTTTTCTCTCCCAGCTATGTGTTAATTAGTAAGACTTGTATCCCTAAACCATTATTATCTAAACAAAAAAAAAATCTTATAATCTAAAAATATTTTCTGGCTTTAAATAACCTATGACAGGTTGATAAACCATAGAAAATAAAAGAATCAATATAATGGAGATAAGTTAGAACTTAAAAAAAAACAAAAAACTAATTTCAAATTTCACTAGAATTACACTTATCAATTGGCATAATCAACTGACTAATTAATTCTGAAGCTCCTTTAAAATCTACGATTAGCACAAATATCTTTCCCTGACAGTGAAATTGAAAATTGTATTATTCCTCCACAGACAAAAACTTGATCTGAGAAATACTCATTTCAAAGGTTACACAATTTTCTTTTTCTGAATTTAAAGTAAACAATCAAATGATTACAATGAGAAAATCAACTAGAATCTTTGCCACAATAGAACAAAATTAGCAGACAGAATGGTGCACCTTTGTGCATTTGAAAAGGATTCAGAATACACAGAGTTCATTTTAGACAATGAATGCTTTCAAAGGATTAGCAAATGTATAATTGGTTGTATCTTAATCCTTCCACATCCTTTCTTGGCTTCTGACTCAGGTCAAGCAGAAAGGATAACAAGACAAAACCTGTTTCTCATTGGAATTTGAAGAAGTCTGGCAAGTGACACTCTCTTAGTGTTGACCTTTTGTCTTCCATCAGAAGATTAAAATGTATATTTCAGTGAAATATGTATTTGTATGATCTTTGTATGCATTTCGTTCGAGGCACTGCCGTTTATTTCTGCAGCAGTCGTTTATACATACACACATATATATAGTTATTTTCCAAGCATAGCTTAGATGTGGCACAAGGCCGAAAGTATGGGACACCTAGTGAGGATCGAACTCACTTTTCAGTTGTAACTTGATTAGACCGAGACAATATATATATATATATATGCTAACCATTACACACACGCCATATATATATATAGGTACACACACACATATATATATACCCATACACATATATATATATATATATACACACACATATATATATATATATATATATATATATATATATATACACACACATATATATATATATATATATATATATATATATATATATATATATATATACACACACACACACATATATATATATATATATATACACACATATACGCACACACACATATATATATATAATACACACAACGACGACGACAAAGCCCTCATCAGATGATGACCCTAGATTCATTAACAATAATTCGGACCAACATGAAAAAGGTTGATAAACCGTAGAACACGAATCAATCAAACTAACCCAGGACCCTTCAGTAGTACCTCGCGATATCACTAGGCTTTGATTCTCCGTTACATTGCGAGATTATCAGATGGAAGAAGAGGCTGTTTCTGCTTCGATATATAAGCCTATGTCCTTCAGCATTAACTGGAGGTTAGTAAGATATACCAAGGGTGAAATGTGAATTACACTCCGGCATCCGACAAAAGAGAGATAAGCATTCGCCCTAAAGCTGGATAGTTAAACTCCCCATCAGTTCAAAAAAGAAACAATCAGACAAACAGCAGAAATAGAACCAAAGGAAAATTTCGTATAATTAACCAAAAAATGAGACATGGCCGGGGATGATCAGAAAGAAGTGCTACAACTTGACTCTGTTTCCAATGTCCCTCCGCTGAATATTTAATCAGTACAATGACTGAACTCAGCGTTCAGTGCTCAGCCTTCGATCAATTTCTAAACATGCCGATGGCACCCCTGGCTCAATCGTAAAAAACGGCCCTCACTCAATCGTGAAGGCAAATAGGTATACTCTCTAACTGTAGACCAACTTACTTCTCGCGAAATCAAATTGAACCCGTAAGAAGTCATGTTCACCAGCCATGAAAGTAAAAACGAACTACCCACACATTAACAATCCAGACGACTTCATCCTTATCGTTTGTTTTGCTAGTATGGGAACCGTGTTCATGTATTGCTAGTATGGGAACCGTGTTCATTGTATGTTCATAGTATGGGAACCGTGTTCATGTCCCGACCAAACAAGTAAACAGTCGATATGTCTTAACTAGACAGAAACAAAAAAGTAATCTAATTACACACATCTTCACTAATATATAAATGAAAGATATGGACATTTGTTTTCATAAACATCATTCAATAAAAAGGCGGCATAACAAGAACCGAATTAATTTAGAGGAATTACGTAATACTAGAATTAGCTTAGCATGGACGGTAGAATAAGAACTAAGAATTGGGGTTCATACCCAAAAGCAAATTCGGACAAGCGAACGTAGCGTTCTGACTTTGAGACAAGACAGACCTGGACCGAGTTAGATGAAACTGAGAACCAGCCTATTTTATTGGCTAGGAAGGAATCCCAGCATGCATTTGTGTGCTTCTGCCTATAAAATAGGGACGGGAAAGTATTTTGCAGTCATTTCTATGAGCATTGGAATCAATCCCTGCCGTTAGAAATAATTCCCCTGCATTGGGGTATTGTGCTTTTCCTTTTGGAAGTGGTCCATAGTAAAGTAAGTGTTACTTTTTGTCCACAAATTGTCCCTTTTGTATTAATTTTTGTACTCGTCGTGTCTGTTTGTTTGTCCAGTGAACTTTTGTTTGTTCTTCGTCATTTGAACCGGGGAGAGAACCACTCCACTATAGCGGAAGCAAAGGGGAAAAAGACCCATTGGCCACCCAGCCATCAACGTCTGCATAGACGGTTGAAAGGCCTAAGAAAGGACCGGACTATTAGAAAGGCCTGACAGAGGATTACAGCTCCTTCATCTCAGGCCATGAACTTTTGTCTATGCCTTCTGTTATGGAGATAGCCGACGTCAAGACGCCGAAGTTTATTGTTGTCAGCAGGGAGGCAATAGAAGAGGAATTTAAAGGCCTTAAATATTGAGGTTAAAGTGTTGGCCCGAAGATCCAATGCCATGTGGGACATCCTGCTGGCAACTGAAAAGGCGGCAAAAACATTGGCCTGGAGTGTCCTCACCACAAAGGCACTCAGACTCCAGACAGAATAGATGGGCACCGGAAAGACCCGGATTACCTTACACAAGGTGTACATGTACATCATTCAGGAACATTTGAGGCCCTTCTTCTCGGATTACGGTTCGGTGGAGGGGTGTCCTCTATCAAAAGTAAGTGGGATATTGCCATCAATAACTTTGAAATCCTAGTGACATTGACTCGACCAAAGTTTAATGAAGTACCAAATGAAGTACCATTGATGGGCTTGTGGTTCCGCCCGTCAACTGGAAAAGTTGTGTTCGACCAGAAATCCGGCACCAATCCCAACCAATACCAGAACAGCCCAGGGTGGATACACTAAAGAAGGCCTCCATTGGTCTTGACGAATAGACTGAGTTGGTGAGGAGGGGATCCAAAGCAACTCCGCCTCTTTAGCAGGATGTAACAAAAGGAGCTGCTAAGCCAGCACAGAAAAAGCAGCACCAGTGATAACAGCACCAGCAATAAGAACAGCCGCAGCAGCCGAAGAAGCTGCAGCCACAAAAGCAGCTGCTGACAGAGCAGCAACCGGAGAAGGAGCTCACCCGACAATAGTAGCTGCGGTTAGAAAAGTAGCAGCAGCAGCAGCAGATGGTAGAATTGCCGCAACTGGACATGTACATGTAATGCCTCCACAAAGATTCTCCTCACTGAAAAGTGTGAGAGACGAAGAGGAGAGAAGAAGACACTATATATGCCAAAAGGGAGGGGAAAGCTAGTCGGAGTAAGGCAGAGAAGGCCCTGGTAGCTGCCAGGACTCGATCTGCCCCTGCTTTGCCAGCAAGAAGTGAACCAGACGCCTTACAAGGTAAGACAATGAGCCTCCCTTCTTCCCTTCTAGGGCTCCGTCTTCTCACTCCTCCGATGCATCCCAAGGAAGGAAAAAGACAGAAGTCAACGGAAGATCTGAGAAACTTTACTGGCGCCCCCGTTCTAATTACTCTCATTAGGAACACCGGGGTAACCGCAAAGTCTGGGACCTTCTGGCGGGTGCCAAAGATGCCTTCTCCAAGCTCCGGATAGTTTAGAGAGAGTCTCTGGAGCTCAAAAGATTAGACCAATATTGTTCTGGGAGGATCCTGATTTTGCTTCACTCCTCTCTATATAGGGCCCTTAAGTTAACTTTTCCCACAGACATCGGTGTTATTGCCACAGAAGTACAAATTACGTCCGATGTAGGTAACGGTAGTCTGGGACAATCCGTCGGGGTCTTGACCCCTGCAGATTTTCGTCCAGTCTGTATTTAAGGAATTTAGATTTTAAAAGATGTATATCAAGCTAGCTAGCTTGAATGCAACGTGCTTGAGAGATCGGGGTAATGCTTCGTGATCTTTTGTCCTTCGGGGTAGATGTAGCTGCGATCCAGAAGACACACTTTGTTTGCGATGTTAATGCACGTGTGCTATCTAGCGACTTTGTGGTCTATTCAGCGTATGGGCATCATCTGGCCGTAAATCGTTCCCTGAGTGTGAGGTTTGACCTTGTCCATGTCCTCGCGAGGTGGGATGATCGTGGCCTATATTGCCATGAGCAGTGGTTCGTTTCGGGTCGTTACGGTTTATGTGCCCAACGACCAGACGGAGCGTGTCGACTCTTTCCATCACGATAGACAGGGAGCGGTGAGGTAGCAGGAGGTCATCGGGCGATCGTAGCTTGGTTTATGTAATCGCGGAGTTTGGTCTCGTCGATAATTACCGGATCGATCATCCGGGCCGGGTGATATGAACGTGGGCTCTTAAGTAGCTTGTCCTCCGGGTAGCCAGCTACCGGGATAGAATGTTAATTAGAAGGGTCGATCTAGATTTGCTAGATCGTTCCACTGA